TTCCAGTCATCTGGGACCTCCCCGGTTGACCAGGACTGCTGATAAATAATGGCGAGTGGCCTCGCCAGCTCCTCTGCCAGCTCCCTCAGTATCCTCGGGTGGATCCCATCTGGCCCCATGGACTTGTGAGCATTCAGGTGGAGGAGCAGGTCAGTGACTACCTCCTCTTCGACAACTGGGACTTCATTCTGCATCCTATCTCCATCTCCCAGCTCAGGGGCCTGAAAAACCCGAGGATGACTAGCTTGACTATTAAAGACTGAGGCAAAGAAGGCATTAAGTACCTCTGCCGCCTTCTCATCCTTTGTGGCAAGGTTACCTTCTGCATCCAACAAAGAACAGATATCACCCTGACATATAGGGTCCAGGGTCTTGAGTCCAGAGTATGACCTTCTGCCTGCCTGTGACTAACTAAAATTTGTGCTTATGTGATTTACTCACATAAGAAATTCACATAAAGCTTTGTTAAAATACAAATACCTAGTTTATATCTAGTTTTCCTTTAGAAAAGGGTAATATTTCTAAAACAAGATGACAGCTGGCAAATATCTTGAAAAGAAGAAATAGGCTCTTAGGTTTTGTGGGTTTTTTTTTCAAGAATATAAAAAAGCCACAAATTTAGTTTTTGATGAAGTTCAGAAGAAAGCAGCAATGAAAATCAAAGTACGAGCTTATACTTTAGAATCATAGAATCATTGAGGTTGGAAGGCAACACCTCTGGAGATCGTCCCCCTGTGCTCAAAGCAAAGTCAACTAGAGCAGGTTGCTCAGGGCCATGTCCAGTCAGGTTTTGAGCATCTCCGAGGATGGAGATCCCACAACCTCTCTGGGCCACCTGTTCCAGAAGAAAGGAAGCACTTTGCAACACTGTAAGATATGAGAGGCACAGATTCAAAAACATTTTTCAAAGTTATATTCTAAAGAAAATATTTGAGAACTTTGAAATACAGTAGCCCTGAGTCTACCACATTACCAAAACCAGATTTCAGTAAAACTGGTTTGTATGAGTATCAAAGAGTGGGTATAAGGTTTCAAATTTGCCAACAATCTACATGCAATCAAACATGATTTCAGAACCTAAGTCACATTTGAAAAAAGGTCATTGTGCTTCTCAAAATTCTACAGAAACTTTTAAGATTACATATAGATTCATTTCTTTCTACCCTACACTTGATTCGTGTTCCTGAATACATCTTCAGGAATGACAGTAAAAACAAGTAGTGCAATCCAGAATGGCATACGTTAAAAAGGAGAGAAGTAAAAGGGTGCTTTATTTGAACTGTCAAAACATCCTGAAAAGGGTACAAACTTACTGAACAGTATAAAGCAAGGACAAAAAAGGGGGGAGAACAGAATTCAAAGTTTGCTTCCTCTCCCCACAAAACCACAAAAAATAATTGTGCCTATATAGAACTATATGGAGTGATGTGAATAGTCAATGAAATGCATGGCTATAGAAGCCAAACATACACAAAGCTCGTTGACAGAGAAGTCACTTCTTAAAAAGAGTCAAATAGAAAGTAGCGTCAGTGAGAGCTGATAGTGCTTTCTTTTTAATTCATCAGAATACTGTATTTTCTCTACCACATTTATTTTTAAAGATAGGTAGGAAGTGCCACCTCAGAGAGATTTTTATAGATTTCTTAATGGTCTGAAGGAGGACAAAAAAGCTTTCTGCAAGCTGTACAAGAAATGAAACAATTATACAGACAACTAGCTATGTGACCTGCTTTACAATACTATTTGCAGCTTATTAAAAAAAAGGGAATAAAAACAGCATTTCCCCCACAAGTCAAACAGGAAATTAACACTGAATTAAAGATCTTTGTAATCTACAGTAGAACAACATTATGAAGTAGCATGACAAATTTCACTATAATAGTCAGAGAATAGCATAAAAACATATTTAGAAGTGGGAAAAATCAAGTCCTTTCAAAGGAAATGTTACATTCCTTTGCAAAATGTTAGTGTTACCAAAAATATTCGTCTTTCTTGGATACTTCACATAATAGCAGGCATGAAACTAACTGGGGTGAGACCTTGGGCTTCAAATGCTCCTCTTCACTTTTTCTCAAACCTTCCCCCTCTCCCCGTCAAAGGACTCAAATGCTACTTATTCCATAGCTTTCAGCTTTATTTAATTTTCCTTTAGAACACAGTTTTGAGGATACACGGGACTATAATTAAAATCCCTTACAAAAGAAAGAAAGATATGTCAATCATACCACTTTGGGTAGGCTCTTGCTTTTTTACTGAGCAGGAAAAAGTGCATGTTGCAGGGAATAGTAGACTATAACCACACCATTTCACAGCAAATGTGGATAGAAAGCTGCCTATCTTGCCACTAGAGATTAATTTAAGAAAATATAGTCTGCCACTGAATCACATAATTTTCAAACACACGATGCAAACCGTTAAGCTACTGGTAAGACATCCTGCAATGAAAACAATACGCCCTTTAATCTAAAGGACTTACGTCTCATGAGTGCCAAAAAAGAATATAGGCATTTTATTCATAGGAGGTTTTACTGCTCCATCTGGGATTTCATCCACCTAAGAGAAAAAGAGACTAGAATTAAAGTTTAGTAACAATTAAAAACACTCTAGGGGAAAACGCTTAAGTGTTAAGTATTAACCTGAAGAAACAAAATACTATTGAAAAAGTGAAAGAGATTTAAACAAAACAAGAGTCAA